GGTCTCCTGCTTGGGTGGCGGGTTGGACTAGATGACCTCCAAGGTCCCTTCCCACTCTGATTCTCCGTGTTGATTCCACTCACGTCGGCCACAGATTGCAGAATGTGTTCCTGCTCGTCCCTGGCTTTCCCGGCTAAGGTGTCCAGAAAGCGCTTGGCCAGATCTTCGGTGTCTTCCAATTCGTACTGGAGATGGTAGGAGAGCGAGAAAAAAAAAAAAGGCGGGGGGGGGGGCTTTTAAGAAGCCCCCGCCCGGCCCCCCCCCCCCCCCCTTGGGGGGGGGGGCTGGGGAGGGCCCCCCCCCCCCCCCCCCTCTGCTCCTGCCCACCTGTTGCTCCTCGTTCAGGTTCCGGATGCTGCGCAGAAGGGAGGCGATCTGGACCGCTTTCAGCGGATACTCCTTGTCCATGTAGGTCCGCAAGACGTTGACCTCTTCCTGCAAGGTGTGCACTCGGGTCCCGACCCGTTTCAGCTCCTGGTCCATCTCTGGAAGGGGAAGGAGAGGAGAGAACCTGGAGGGTCACCCTTTTTGGGGGGGGGGGGGGTACTGGGAAACACACGGGAGCGCGTGTGAGAACAATGGGGTTCTGATGCCCGCTCTCCAAAGAGGAAATAAAGGTATATAATGGCAACAGCAATCAGACTTATATGCCGCTTCGCTGTGCTTCCCAGCCCCTCTCTAAGCGGTTTACAGAATCAGCCTTTCGCCCCCCAACCATCTGGGTCCTCGTTTTACCGACCTGGGAAGGACGGAAGGCTGAGTCAACCCGGAGCCAGTTAGTTAGCCTACAATACTGCATATAAAGTAGATAGGCAGGCAGGCAGGCAGATGGACAGACAGATATGGATGGGTGGATGGATGGATGGATGGATAGATGCAAAGATAGAGATGGATGGATGGACAGACAGATAGAAATGGCCAGATGAATAAATAGTTACTGTAGATAGACAGATAGAGATGGATAGTTGGATGGAGGGATGGAGGGATGGATAGAGATGGATGGATAGATAAAGATAGATGGGTAGATGGATAGATAGATAGATATGGATGGATGAATGGATAGATAGATAGATAGACAGACAGACAGACAGATAGATAGATAGATAGAGATGGATAGATAGATGGATGGATGGATGAATAGATAGATAGATAGAAAGATAGATAGATAGATAGATAGATAGATAGATAGATAGATAGATAGATAGATAGATAGATAGATAGATAGATAGATGGATGGAT